AGCGGTACTCATACGTTCAGAAATGTCAAACCTTGAGGGACCTTTGAAGCTAGTGAAATAGCTGGAGAACTGAATTGAAAGGTATTGATTTGTTCTTATGGAAGTAAATGCGACAAACCGATACGAGAGGACGAACAGATAGCATTACAGTTTTATAGTGTTGTTCGTCCATCAGGAGTGACGAAGACCACTTTCATCCAAACTAGTAATTATCAATCGATTATGAGTACGAAGGTGGCTGATTAGTCCAATATGAGCCTGGACAGTTCTTGAGCAGTGCGGACAACAGGTGGAAGCCACACTAAGTGTGGGATTAGCAATACGCTTCTTTCTAATCTGCCTCTGTTTCTCTGCCTGTGCAACCTCCGCTGCCTGGCAGGCTGATACACCATGCCTGAGGGATGTGCGCCATCGAAAACGGTCTTGTGCAGCAGCCTCCCACATCGCTGTGTTGATGCCAAAAGAATTGAAAGCAGTCTTCAGAGTGTCCTTACCGCGCTTTTTCCCGTCCTCCCTGTGACCTCTTCCCTAGCTGGAGCTTGCCATAAATACTTTCTTTGGAGGCGATAGTCTGGCATTCGGGTAAGGTGACCAGCCCAACGCAGCTGACAGTTCTTGAATTTTGTGTGTAGGCTAGGCTGGTTTCCCCAGTAGTTGCATGAAAGTGACTTGCTCAAGGACTTGGATTTAGGTGAGGAAGAGTTGCGCAATTCGTCGACCTCACTCTCTCGCCTATGTCCATGTTGATCCAATGACAGGACAATGTCGAGACGATTGGAAATGGACCTAGGTGCAGTGGATGACCAAGGCGTCTTAAGTTGCCCTGCCTTGCTCGAAGCTTTCCGCAAAGCCTGCTGGTAAACGCCTTTTTGTCCATTGCACCGCAGTTTTATAGAACAGTTACATCAGTAGAATGCGGTAAAATGGCCTCTAAATAACAACGCCCCCCCCCCCCCCCAAAAAAAAAAAAAAAAATTTTTGCAGTTTAATAGACACAGTATGTTAAATATTTTCATTTTCAACATTCCTGTAGTTTTCCCCTTGTGGGTTCTAGGGCTCCAATGTGGAAAAGACCAGAAGATACCCACTGCATCCCCAACAAGTGTGCCGTAAAAGTCGACTAATTAGGGGCATTCCTTCAGCGTCAGAGAGCACCTGCCTGAGAGGCGAGGAACCAGCAGTCTGCATACAAATAAGCAAGATCTGTAAAACGGATGCACACGTAAAACTCATGTCCTGGAACATAGCAACTGTTCAGAAATAGAGGAACGGAACATGTTACGAACTCAGGCCCAGCTACACACTTGTGAGTGACGAGGTCGGGCCAAGACACTGTGAATAGACGCTCATTCATGTGACGCGCAAGTTTGAGTGGCAGGGTGTCAGTTTGCAGAAACGTTGTATTGGGCCGTTACCGGCGACCACGTATTCTTTATATTACAGGATGTGAGAGCTTTTAAAAGCACGTACAACTGGCCCTAACCCCAACCCCTTACCATACACACTAAACTTAGGTCCTACGAGAGAATTCGCGACACCCCTCTAACTTTGAGCAAAGTTGACCAGCCTGAGGAAGCATCAGACAAAGGTCAGCTAGTGTGTAGATGGTTGATGGGCCGCCGTTTGTTACTAGCAATGGACGAACAACCAGGTCTTTTCGTGGGGGTTTATAATTGGTGAACACAAACAAAGAAACATATACACTTCTAAAACACGACTAATGAAATCACTGACGATCTGAACTTCACTGATGACATACATACCTGATGAAAGATCACAACAGTTAGGTGTAAACATCCGTTAAAGGGAGAAAACAGATAACGAAATAAAATAGGCAAACAGTATAGAATGTTCCTTGAAGTACAGTCTGCGCAATCAAACCATGTCTCACCACATGCCTAGAGAGAGAGAGAGAGAGAGAGAGAGAGAGAGAGAGAGAGAGAGAGAGAGAGAGAGAGAGAGAGAGAGAGAGAGAGAGAGAGGCAGAAAAGAATAAAATAAATAAAAGCATGAGTCGGCTTTGAATTTGATATACGTATAATCACATGGTGTTTGATTATCTAACAGTTGGTGCAGATGAATAAAGGTAACAGCTTATAATTTTGACGATTAAAGTCAAACTTTATATTTGGTTAGTAATGACTCTCCACCCCCCCCCCCTTTTTTTTTCCATTTTACATTGTTTTCTAAATATTTTTTGTCTCTTGCCTACTTGGCTTTGTTAATATCCTTGAAGTAATGTCTTGTTTACTGGGAGGTGTTTGTATCCCTAAAGTAATGTATCTTGCTTACTGTGAGTTGTTTATATTGTTGAAGTAATGTCTCTTGTTTACTTGGCGTTGTTTGTATCCGTGAAGTAATGTCTCCTGTTTATCGACATCTGTTTCTGTTCATGAGGTAATGTCTCCTGTTTATCGACATCTGTTTCTGTTCATGAGATAATGTCTCCTGTTTGATGACAATTGTTTATATTTTTAAAATCTTCTGTTTCCCCCAACAGAGGTGACCATCAAACAACTCAAGGAGAAACTCAAAGAACATGAAGAACGAGTGGAAGCTACAGCACAAGTGAGTCTCTTCTTTGGTGGTCTTGTTCTTTATCGTGCGCTCTCTTCCACATTAATTTACATCATCCTCATCTTCGTCAACGTCGTCGTCGTATCTCTGTTTTCGTCCTCATCACCGTCATCAATAGTATTTTTATCATCGGCATCATCCTCCCGTCATCATAACAGTCATCATCATGGTTATCGCTCAGTCATTTCTTCACGCTTTGTCAGTTTCACTTGCATTCACGAACGCCGTACACCGACAAATGATTCAGAAGAATTATGTTGCGAAAATGTGTGTGCGTGTGATAACACAATAGTTCAATCTTCATCATTAGCGTTATCGTCTTCTTCTTCTTCTTCTTCTTCTTCTTCTTCTTCTTCTTCTTCTTCTTCTTCTTCTTCTTCTTCTTCTTCTTCTTCTTCTTCTTCTTCTTCTTCTTCTTCTTCTTCTTCTTCTTCTTCTTCTTCTTCTTCTTCTTCTTCTTCTTCTTCTTCTTCTTCTTCTCCTCCTCCTCCTCCTCCTCCTCCCCCATGTCTGTCCTTTCTTTTCTTTCTTTCTTCTTTCTTTCATTAGTCTTATGACATTTGAATAGTTCCTATGCACAGCGTGTTTGAGATGTTTGCACCTTTCGCCCGATATTTCTGACTTCTCCAAACATTTGTAGCCCTGGTCAGCCTTCTCAGAATACCAGTGTTTGAAAGCCAACCTGTGTATTTATTTATAATTAGTAGCGTATACTATCAACACATAGCAGGTTAGTTACACGACGTCGCCTCCGTTACGTCGCCGTGCAGGCAAGTTTTGTCCCCCTTTGTTGCGATCGACCCCTGCCCTATTCCCGGTACTATGCCATCGGTGGTCTCAGCAGCAACAGTTGATTTTAGGTTCATTCACATCGAGGCAGACCCAGAGATGGATCCAGCCGGAAATTGATATCAGGCAAAGTAAAATCACCCAGTATGATTTTGACCACATCACCTGTGCAATCATTAACGCAGAACGCGTGTGATATGGGTTGTGTGACGCATGCGAAGCTATCTGGGAAGATCTGTCCGGATTGTTGGGGCGATGGTCCACGCCAGCCAGTAGTCACATGTAGAATAGGTGTGTACATTTTGGTTAGCAGGACATATCCAGTGTCTCACGTTTTTTTTAAAACCTTATTTAATTCCTAATTTGCAGGTTCTTTACCAGTTGTTCCTAAAAACTTGAGTTCTGTACCGGTTTATTTAATTTTTTTTTTTTTTACGTTTTCTTCCCCAAACAGAAAGTGCTGGCCTTTCATTTTTGGCATTCTGACCTGTCACATGTGCTGGTCTATGTTAGAGGGGTCTCGGGTTGTGTAGTCTTCGCCAGGAGCTTTCTATTTTTTGCCTGTGGGTGGCGAGCTAGACGTTGTGTTTTACTCGTTGTGTTTTACTCGTTGTGTAAAAAAAGGTAAAGTGGGGAGATGTAAACCAGCGTTATTGCACACGGTTATAAACCATAAGTACTCTGCCACCAGTAGGGACAGCTGATAAAAATTGTCCGCCTGTGTCGCTGTATGCACGTAACTCTGTAGCTACAGCGACGTTCCTCCATTTACTCTAGAGTGTCACTCTGGTACCCATTTTCTAGAGGCTAGGTGAAACCCGGGAACGGCCCGGTTTCAAACACCGACCGTGGGCTGCAGCGAGTCGCAGCTGGATTTGAAAGCGAGCCTGTTATCAACTGCGCAAACGCGGCCCCTGTCGTAGTTGTGTGATTGATTCAGTGGCTGGGTCTGCACCTCTGGTGGTGAATTGATACATGACAAGGCAGATGTGGTCAGAACTCTTTGAGATTAAGTAACGAAGTCAGACGATAAACTAGGTAATTATGGGCTAGCAACGTAGGCCGAGGCTATTTGGTAGGGGGTTGGGGTTAGGGCGAGTTGTAGATGTTATGCGGTCCTTAAAAGCGGTCAGATCGTGTAATATAGCGCGCGGGATATCGCCGGTAATAGCATCGAAGATAATACACTGTTACACGGAACGCAGCATGCACTCTCTTGTGGGACCTACGCTGAGGCTAATGGGGGGGGGGGGGATTAGGGCAAGTTCTAGATGTTCTGGGGTCTTTTAAAGCGATCACATGTGCAATATATGTATAGTACACTCGTGATCGCCGAAAAGAGCATCGAAGAGAATACTACATGAACACCCTGTAACATAGATTATCGCATGTGAAAGGTCAGGAAGCATGGATGAAAGGCCAAATACGCTGTTTTTGGGTCTGAAAACGTAAAAAGAACCAACTTTTCTCCCAGCAGTGTTTGTTTACTTTTGTATATTTTGGCAGTTTCCCTAGTTGAACATTTCTTTTTGAAGTATTTTTCCAGTATATCAGGCTCGACTGTAAGTGATATACTCATAGTCGGCTCCAACGGTTCTCACAATGGGAAGAAAGGAGGGCAGGTCGCACATGCCTTTGGTAAGAAGGTCAAAGTGAAGGGCTTGTCAAGCATTGAGGCGTATTGTGCTTATTATCTGAATAGACTAGTAGTGAAAAGAAAGACCTTGAAGGAAATAAACAAGAGACAAGTGGAATATCAAAAAGACATAGATTAGTACCTCGATGTACGTCCCTCTTTGATATACGCCCAGCTTTATATAGATCCTTTTTTAGAGGCCAAAGATTGTTCTTGGTATACGACCCTTGTTTCGAATCAGCACCAGGCACGGTACCTCGCACCACTCGCTTTTTACCTCTCTAATTCATCAAGGAAATCTTTGCCAGTGGGATGAATGTCAGAAACTTTGCAGAGAACCACCACCACCCTAACAAAGTCCATACAGGCCTTAGAATCATTGTCTGGATTTGCCGGATAGTTACATTTCCGAAACTTTCTAAGGAGAAGGGAGAAGCAAAAGTCTGTGCACAAACATTTAGGGAAAGTCAGACATGGTGCGCCTCAGCCAGTGGGGAAATATAATTAGTCGCCACCCATGTGGGGTGCAATTTTTCGTTATTTGAAGCCCCACCCTGGCTTTTGCCAGAGGTCCTGAATATAGCCGGGCTGAACGGGATTTCTGGGACTTCTCCACGGGTTATCCTCATCCACATGGTGGTACTTTGTGTCACTCTGTGTTTATCGCTTGTGTGATGCTCTTGTGATGTACAACGAGAGAGAGAGAGAGAGAGAGAGAGAGAGAGAGAGAGAGAGAGAGAGAGAGAGAGAGAGAGAGAGAGAGAGAGAGAGAGAGAGAGAGAGAGAGAGAGAGAGAGAGAGAGAGAGAGAGAGAGAGAGAGAGAGAGAGACCGAACATGGAAACAGCAACAACGTAATTTCAGATTCCTAAAGTTATATTGCAAGATGACACTCTTTCCAAACATTAACATATCCTCCTCCCTTCTCAGCTCCATCCTAACAGGCACTAGACTATTCTCAGCACCACCCTAACAGGCACTAGACTATTCTCAGCTCCATCCTAACAGGCACTAGACTATCAGCACCATCCTAACAGGCACTAGACTATTCTCAGCACCATCCTAACAGGCACTAGGCTATTCTCAGCATCATCCTAACAGGCACTAGACTATTCTCAGCTCCATCCTAACAGGCACTAGACTATTCTCAGCACCATCCTAACAGGCACTAGACTATTCTCAGCACCATCCTAACAGGCACTAGACTATTCTCAGCACCATCCTAACAGGCTCTAGACTATTCTCAGCACCATCCTAACAGGCACTAGACTATTCTCAGCACCATCCTAACAGACACTAGACTATTCTCAGCACCATCCTAACAGAAACTAGACTATTCTCAGCACCATCCTAACAGACACTAGACTATTCTCAGCACCATCCTAACAGACACTAGACTATTCTCAGCACCATCCTAACAGACACTAGACTATTCTCAGCACCATTCTAACAGGCACTAGACTATTCTCAGCACCATCCTAACAGACACTAGACTATCAGCACCATCCTAACAGGCGCTAGACTATTCTCAGCTCCATCCTAACAGGCACTAGACTATTCTCAGCATCATCCTAACAGGCACTAGACTATTCTCAGCACCATCCTAACAGGCACTAGACTATTCTCAGCACCATCCTAACAGGCGCTAGACTATTCTCAGCACCATCCTAACAGGCACTAGACTATCAACACCATCCTAACAGGCACTAGACTATTCTCAGCACCATCCTAACAGGCACTAGACTATTCTCAGCACCATCCTAACAGGCACTAGACTATTCTCAGCACCATCCTAACAGGCGCTAGACTATTCTCAGCACCATCCTAACAGGCACTAGACTATTCTCAGCACCATCCTAACAGACACTAGACTATTCTCAGCACCATCCTAACAGACACGAGACTATTCTCAGCATCATCCTAACAGGCACTAGACTATTCTCAGCACCATCCTAACAGGCACTAGACTATTCTCAGCACCATCCTAACAGACACTAGACTATTCTCAGCACCATCCTAACAGAAACTAGACTATTCTCAGCACCATCCTAACAGACACTAGACTATTCTCAGCTCCATCCTAACAGGCACTAGACCATTCTCAGCACCATCCTAACAGACACTAGACTATTCTCAGCACCATTCTAACAGGCACTAGACTATTCTCAGCACCATCCTAACAGACACTAGACTATCAGCACCATCCTAACAGACACTAGACTATCAGCACCATCCTAACAGGCGCTAGACTATTCTCAGCTCCATCCTAACAGGCACTAGACTATTCTCAGCATCATCCTAACAGGCGCTAGACTATTCTCAGCACCATCCTAACAGACACTAGACTATTCTCAGCACCATCCTAACAGACACCAGACTATTCTCAGCACCATTCTAACAGGCACTAGACTATTCTCAGCACCATCCTAACAGACACTAGACTATCAGCACCATCCTAACAGGCGCTAGACTATTCTCAGCTCCATCCTAACAAGCACTAGACTATTCTCAGCACCATCCTAACAGACACTAGACTATTCTCAGCACCATTCTAACAGGCACTAGAC